ATGGAAAGGTCATAGGTCAAAGAAATTAGAGATACTGTCTGAAAGTGTCTTAACAGAACCTGAAGATCAACTGTTTGAAATCCTGGATTAAAAATTACATTCTTTGCAAATTTGAAAAAACAATTGAAAGGTTAAGAACCCCATTTAAAACTAAAATGTTAGATGTTTACCCCAAAGAGCTGCTAATAAATTGTTTTAATATCGATGACAATAAATTTCTGAAATTATTGAAACATATGAATACCTTACTGAAATATTAATGGGACCCTAAATTCTTATAAATTATATTTCCATAATGAATGACGCAGGTTCATGTTGAGACATTCAGAACCAGAACCGAGCCATTACTGGATCGTACCTGCACACAGGTGAGCTGCAGGTGAGCCAATCAGAACGAGGCAGGCTCTGATGCTCTGAAGCTTTTGACATAAAAACACGTCACCGTCCGTGCTTACGTCATCTAATTCCTCACGTGAAAACACGTTTTCCACGCAGCTGAAGCGTCACGTACAGACAGCTTTTATCAGCCAATCAGAACGCTCTCCGTCAGCTGCTCTAATTTGCTTTTTCCCCCTCAATAAAAACATTTTTATTCCGTTTCTTTTAAAGAGCTGCGTGGTGACGTCATGCCTTTTAGAAAATTAAACGTTATCAAACAAAATCAGAAAATAAAATGAGAGATTTATTGTGACAGATCAGCAGCGGCCTGCATCCTCCTCTAGGACCCGACCCTGCGCTCACCCGAACCCCCACCAGAACCAGGCGGCTCCTACCTTCTCCTGGGCCCGGTTCAGCCGTTTCTGAACGTTCTTCGCAAAGATTCCCGTTTTAATTTCCGCCATGATGCCTGGAGAGGACGGAGGATTACAGAGGAGGCAGGAAGGTGGGGGGGCGTGCGTGTCTGCGCGTGCGTACAGGGGGCGTGTTTGAGAAGCTATCTGGAAGCTGATTGGCTCTTGCTCCCCACGCTGCGGTCACTCAGAGGAGATGCTGGTCCAGAAGCCGCAGGTGAGACCGGAGCAGCGGGACGTCATGTCCGTACAGAAAGCGGACATGCGCAGTTTCACCCTCACGTGCATTAATAATGAAGTGGAGACATGAGAATCTGTCCTCCTGACGCATGAAGCTCCCTGCTGAGCTCCAGAAACCGGAAGGAGAAGCTGCAGAGCTCGGAAAGATCCCGGAAGTTTCTGCGTAATAAAAATAATTACAGCTGGTTCTGGTTCTGGTTCTGAAACAGCTGCAGCTCTGACTTCAGTCAGGTCAATGACCTCATGTAAACAGCAGGGGGCAGCAGAGAGCCGCCGCAGGAAAATCATTTCGTCACCGATTTCGAAAAATGAAGCAGAAAAACTAAATTATTTTATATTCAAAAAATATTTGCAGTCAAGGGGATCCAGTTCCAAAGGTCAGGGGTCAGGGTTACCCTCATACTGAACACATCCAATATCTGCTGATTCGATTCACATTATGGCCAGACCGCCACCTCCACCAGAACCAGAACCAGGCTCAGTATGAAAAGCAGTGCTGATCCAGGAGAACTCCATGTCAGAAAGTAACTAAGAACTTCCTACTCTTTGATCAGGAGCGTTGGAGGCAGCAGCTGCAGCACAAACAGTAAAACGGGGCACAGAGACTCGGTTTGACTCAGACCAGGACAGGTGTGGGCCGCCAGGTGAGACCCTCAGTGATGACATCACTGTGCTGGTGATCGTTAGACTGCACAGACCAGGAACTTCTGATAGTCATGCTGCGGGCTTGGTTCGCTGATGATCTCAGAAACAGGACATAAATAAATTAAATATAAGATGTTTCCTGCAGCTGTTCCTAACAGATATTAGGCTCTCTTCTATTAACCATTTATATAAATCAACTGGGACAGAATGATGGAAATGTTCATTTTTATGCAGACGACTCAGTCGTTTTATCCAGTCCTATAGAAAGTCTCCACTGCTTCTGATTCAGTTTAAAACTTGTCAGCTTCCTTGATGCCAGATTCATCCAGACCCAGTTTGACTGAGTTCTTTAGTTCACCAATTTGTACTCATATGTCACACAGTAACTTCTGAAAACAAACATTTTATTTTAAACAGGGTGGCTCTGCTGCTTTTCAAGCCTTCGGTCCCTCTGATTGTTTTTCAGAGTATGGCTTACAGATTGCTTAGTCTTCAAATGCTTCATCAAATTACTTTTTAAAAGATGCATTATTGGCTTAGATCTGTAAATATCCCGGATCAGATTGGATGAAAAAAGAGACAAAGTTCATCTACTGATGGTGTAACTAGAGGAGGTTTCCGTGTTCAGGAAGGAGAGAGCAAGACGAATGTCTCCGCTCCAATCAGTCACACATCCCAGCTGTCAAAAGCTACAAATGTTACACTGTTTACTAAACGCAGTAAAAGCTTAATTAAAGCAACATGTTGATTTGGTCCAGTGCAGCTGAACAACTGCTGCAGGATCTTTTTTATTGGAGGATCAGTAAATAACTTATTGTTGTCTCAGCATCTGGTATGAAGAAGGAATCCAGTAAAGCAGAATCGGTTTGGAGCGTCAGGGCGCTGCTTCTGGATGCCACTAATACAGATTAAACTAAACTGACCAGAATTTCAGATCCAGAATCAGAAAAGATTTTCTCAGTGGTCTCAGAGGAAGTGAGATGGAGATGGCTCGATATCTGGGCAACGACTCCCTCAATTTTTATGAAAAAAATCTAGTAAAAAAGCTAAATGCACGTTCCCTTTTCCTTTTTCCGCTAAAGCAGTTTGAGTGTCTTGAGATGTTTTGTAGATGATTTTACCTGTACAGCACTGTAGTTTTATAAAATGATTCATAAATAGATGATGATGGTGATGACTGACTGGGGTTTAGTTCACATTTTTAGGAAAACAAGCACATTTGATCTTTAATTCACCCTAAAAATCAGTTGAATGTTAATAATTTATAAAACCTCTGGCCAAAATGGAGAAGATGGAAAACTTCAAATTGTTCAGGGGATTTGGGGTAAATAATGCACCAATATATCCACATCCTCGCCGTTTGATTCCAAACAGGAAGTCAGGGTTGTTTTGAAGCAGTTTGATTGGCTGATAGGTTTTAGTGTAGTGCTACATTGCCCCCTATGGGTTGGCATGTTTGAAACGACACTCAGGGTTGAATTGCTGCAGGTTCTTGTGGATGCAAACCTTTTCTTGCACCAATGGCCTTTATTTGACAGCAATCTGACAGGATGGGGGCAAAGAGAGGGAAAGGAAGGGGAGTCGAACTTGGGACCCGTTGGGATCTGTCGCCTCTAACAGCGCCGCAGTGCAACGCCACGTTGAAACCGAGCCGGTGTGTAGGGTGTTATTCATTTCATTGATGTGGAAGATATTAGTTTTCATTAAGACCCGGTGGTGTGTGGACAGTCTGCATCGGCTCTCTGGTTCATTACAAGCTGCAACATGTCAACACAGCGCCGCGTTTCAATGACCTGGACTGGCTGTGAACCCCTTTGGTTATCTTTTATTTACCAGGCTGTTTCTGCTGGTCTAGCTGAACTGGAATTGCACTGAGAAATGTTGACTCGCTCTCAACTTGCTGCTTCTTTCCGTCTCTTTTTGCTCCGACTAAATTAGGTAAAAGGTTTTTGTTCACCCTGCTCCCTCCTCCTGGCATTCAGAAAACTTTGAATCCAACTGACTATCTCCAAACAAAGTTCTTCAGGCTCAGTGATGTAAACCTGATTTTCATAGCTTGTCATTTTCTTTTACCTTTTTTGTGTTTTATTTGTTGCCTCCTGGCCAGGACCCCTCGAGTCTTGATTGGATTTTATCCTGGTTAAATAAAAAAGTTACAGTAGAAGGTCTTCAATTTGTCTATCAGGGACTTTCAGCTCAGATGTTTGCATGCACCTCGTCTGGTCTGTTGGAGGAACTTTCTTCTCCCATTTTGCTTCCAGGTCTTCGATGGAAAGCTGCTGACAGGCGTTCCAGATGTTGGGTGATTCCTCTGTCCTGCCAGAGCCGACAGGAACAGGTGAATCAGGCTTCAGGTGATGCCGTGGCACCAGCTGTCGGCAGCAGAGGGCCTGCTGATGTCAGAAGATCTGATTCGACGTGGACTCACTCCATCTGCTCCTCTCCGATTATAACAAGTCATCTCCAGCCCAAAGATCTAGTTCACACCGACGGAGTTTCTCCTCCACGTGAGCTGACGAAGACGATGCTCTGATTCATCAATGTGTGTGTGTGGTATGAGTGAATCAGGGATGCTGCCTTCCTCCTCTTCCCTCCTTCCTCCTCCTCTTCTGTCGTGACGTTGGATCAGGAGGAAACACCACAAACAGTCCGGAGATATTCTGAGATCCTGCCGAGTTGTGAGTGACTCAGAGGGAAATACCTCTGTGGACGGAGGGAGGAGTTTATCTGCTGGAGGTATAATTACTGTCAGAGAGCAGAGAGGGAGAGCAGAGTGACCCGGCTCAGTGTTTGCTCAGATTCAGAACCAGAGAGGACCGGAACCAGCACCAGAATCTCCAACATGACGGACTGACGGACCAGAACCTCCGGACCCAGCTCCAGCCTCTCAACTGCTTCATCTGCATCTTCACCCAACCCTGGCTTTGGGTTATAACTTCTGTCAGAACCAGAACCCGTCTGGATCAGTCGGTCCTGCTGCCAACTCTTCCCTCAGACCGGACCAGCAGCCTCTGGTCTGACTGGACAGATTAGTTCTCTGCATCAGAACCGTTCAGGATGTCTTTTTGGGCTGCGCTGCTCTTCGCCGTTCCCGTCTTTCTTCTGATCGGCGCCTCGCCCCTGGAGGTCGCGCCGTCCTCCACCTGCCCCTCCTGCTCTCTGGCTCAGCTGAGGAAGAACTCGTCTTTGCCCGGCGCTCAGGGTGACATGGTGGAGGCCGTGAAGCGTCACATTCTGACCATGCTGCACCTGAGCGCCCGGCCCAACCTGACCCACCCGGTTCCTCGTGCGGCGCTACTCAACGCCATCAAGAAGCTGCATGTTGGGCGGGTTACTGAAGACGGCGCTGTGGAGATACCGGAGGAAAGTTCAGGTCCCGGAAGCTCACTCGCACCTGAACCTCCATCAGAGCTGATCATCTTTGGAGAGCCAGGTGAGTCCGGAGTTTAGTTTGGGTTCTGTCAGACGGTTTGGCTCGGGTCCACCTCAGGTGGATTAGTCCTGGGTAACTGCAGGTTGCATGAAGTGTGGCTCCAAACATGTGAACTCCTGTCCCTGTGGGACTGTGAGGACATGGCAGGTCCTGCGGCGCTGGATCGGATCCAGGCTGGCTGCATGGGAGACGTCACGTCCTCTCTGTCCTCCCTTATCGCTTCATTCACAAAAATCCCACAAGGTCAAAGTTTGTTTACAGATTTCAGTCAGAAGAACTTTCCTCCATGTGGAGATCTGATGCCTGCAGGAATCAGTTCAGAGTGAATGGATCCAGACAGGAATGAGAACCTTGTGGTCTGGTTCTGTCACAGTCCACATGGTTCAGATCCGATTTACCAGAACTCCAGTCCAGCCGGGTTTAAACCTCAGCAGATACACCATGGTTGGCTGAGGAGACGTTCACAGAACCGGGTCAGTCTCTTCAGCCAAACTCGGTTTTTCCTAGCATCTCAAATCAGAACCAAACAGTACCTGGCAGAACGAGTGACCGGTTCTGTTTGCAGAGGAGAAGGTGAAGCAGAACAACCAGGTTCTATAAATAGTTACCCTGCTGAGAAATCTGCATTCAGAGGTTCTTCAGAGGGTGGCCCAAATTAACGGGCAGTAACGAGGCCGGGGTGGGGGGCATACCGAGTGGTCTCAGCCCGTAAATAATCCCTTTATTCAGAGAAATCTGGGCCTCGGTAATTATTCTGCAGCAGGAGACAAAGAGGACAGAGAGGACAGGGTGGACGGCGTCCCCAGTCTTTTTTAGACTGTTTATATGGGGTATATTTAGAGGCAAACATCCATTCATTCAGTTATTATTGGAGACCTTTGCTTTGTTGCTTCATTTACATACGGGGTTGGGGGGAGGCATGGTTTCAGCAGAACTAACATGTCGGCTGTTTTCTGCTGCAGGAGACTCTCCGAACACCGTGACCTTTGACGTG